AGAGAATAATCATGGGAGAAAGAAGGGCTATTAATGCACAGGGAGACAGCTCAGGGTGCAGGAGTGCATGGAGGGATGGGCACAGGGAAGAGGTAACTATCAGGAGGAAGTGGGAGGGGAGCTGTTACATTGGGGTAAATTGTAGTCAGTGTCATGAGACAAAGTGCATGTAAACTGCTATATGGAAAGTGAATTTGCTCTGTAAATTTTCACCCAAATCACAACTGAAAAAAAAAATTAAAAAAAAGTGGATTAATAAGAGCAAATAATAGCAAATTTAAAAAATTAAAGGTATGAATGGAAATAAATGAAACAGAAGAAACAAATGGAGTGAAAAATCAATGAAATTAAAAGCTAGTTCTTTGAGATGATCAGGAAAATTGATAAACCTTAGCTAGACTAAAAAAGAAAGGAAACAAATTACAAATAAGAGGCATGAAAGATTATTAGATAGGGTACAGGGATTAAAAGGATAATGGAAGGTCCCTTGAGATATGATATAATGCGATATTATTGATTGAAAGCCTATTAAAATAGACCTCTGGTGGTGAAGTGCCTAAGGCATCTGACTGCTAACCAGAAGGCTGGTGGTTGAAACTCACAAGCCACTCTGCAGAAGGAAGATGGGGCAATCTACTTTAGAAAAGATTTACCACCTTCGAAATCCACTGGGGGTCACTATGAGTCGGTATCGACTTGATGGCAATTTTTTTTTATTATTAAACCAAAAAAAAACTCAAACCCACTGCCATTGAGTCGATGTTGACTCATAGCAACCTCCATTGCATACATAATTCTAAGAAGGACAAGAACAACACATATGAAAAGTTGCTCAACCTCAACAGTAATCAGGGAAACAAAAATTAAAACCACAATGAGCTTCTTTACATCTATCACATGCACATAAACTTTAATGTGTGACTGCAACAAGTGCAGGCAAGGACTACAGCAACAGCAACTCCTACACACTGCTGGGGGGAATGTACACTGATACAGTCACTCTGGACAACAGTCTGGCATTACGTAGAAAAGTTGAATATGCCTATATTCTCTAACCTGGCAATTTTACTACTAGGTATATTCCTCAGAGAAAATTATACATGTGTACCAGGAAAGTGATAGAAGAATTTCACAGTGGCACCATTAGTAATAATAAAAAAGGAGAAACAATCCAAGTGTTCATTATCAGTACAATGGATAAGTGATTTGTGACATATTGTCAAATAAGGGAATCGTGCATAGCAATGAAAAGAAATGCAGAGAAGCTAGAGTCATCAACACAGCTCAATCTCAGGAAGATAATACTAAGTGGAGAAAAGCAAGCTGTGAATGAAAGCATATAACATGGATCCATCAGTAAGTTGTGTAGAAATACAAATCCATATGACAAAACTAGAAAGAAAAGTGACAGTCATAAAATTCAGGATGGCACTTTTATTTGAGAGGAAGAAGGAAGGGAATAGGATCAGAGAAGACCTACAGAGAACCTCAAAGATAATGAAAATGTTCTGCTTCTTGACTGGTGGGAGATACTCTGATGTTGTTTATATTGTTAATCTTTATACTTTACATATTAATTTGTAAATATTACTTTGGATCTATTCAAACTTTATTCAATACCAGAAAAACCCACTGTCGTAGAGTTGATTCTAACTTATGGTGACCCTAAAGGACAGAGAAGAACTGCTCCATAGGGTTTCCAAGGCTATAAATCTTTACAGAAGCAGACTGCCTCATCTTTCTCCCATAGAGCGGCTAGTGGGTTCAAACTGCTAACCCTTTGGTTAGCAGCCAAACACTTTAACCACTACACCACCAGAACTCCTCTTATTCAATACAAGTAAATTATAATACAAGATTCTTAAATACCTAACTTAAATGGTAAAATTGATCTCTAATGATATTCTTTGCCTACCCGAAAAATCTTGTGCATCCTCATGGTGGCTGAACAAAAAATAAACCTCGTGAGAAGCAAGCGAAGAAATTCATCTCCAAAAAACTGAAGAAATGCCTGATCTGCAAAGAGGAAACAGTTGACAGTGAAAGAAGCTTCAATGGAAAATAAATATCAAAGGGGAAGAAAACCATCTCAACTTTCCTGCTTGGGACAAATACCTTTAAAAACGCAAATAATTTAAAATAAGTAACAAGATCAAGCAATGACAGTACATTCTGTTAAGTGTTCAGTTAGATTAGTAGGGTACCTATTGAACGTGAATGAGTCAGTAGCTGGGCAATATCTCGGTTGATTTTTCGAAGATACTCTTGACACTTTTCCCACAGGCCTCTCCGCATGCTTGACAATCCAGAGACAAATAGGAAGGCCATTAGAGGGTTGTTCAAAAAGAGAGTGAAGAGGCTACCTCGCTGAGTTTGATCTGTAATAACATAGATGTGATAAACAGACACAATTTTATAAAAGATAAGAGATACACCCGAGGAACACATTTTAATATACTGACAACCTATAAAATTAAAGCTGTATCATTAACTCATAGTTCATCAAAGCAGATTCTGCATGAAACTACAAAGGCAGAGGCCAGGCATGCTGCTTTCTGCTGAACGTTGGAGCCTAGGCCACTCCAGAGAAATGGAAAACGAACATATTCCTTAGCCCTTTTTCACCCAAATAACAAATTTCATCCAAACAGACAGTGCTGGATCATAGACAATTCATGATGGGAATGTCTGGTGAATTATCAGTACAGCCCATCTTCTTCATCTTCCTTTGATAGTTGCTCTTTCTCTGCCTGTTTCTTAATGTCAGCCATTTCTTTCTTTGACCATACTCAGTGGTGATCTCATCTACTCCCATGATTCATTCTCTTTTCCTACTGATTCCCACTTCTCTGTCTGCAGCCTACATCCAACTCCTTAGGTCCGGAACTGTGCTGTCCTGTAGTAGCTAGTGGGCACATAAAATTTGACTAGTCCAAATTGAGATGTACTGTTACGTGTAAAATATATACTGGATTTCAAAGACTTAGTACAACATGATATGTTACTGACACTAATTTCACCTGATTCTTTTAAATTTTTATTTTTTAAATGCTGCTACTATAACATTTTAAATTATACATGTGACTCACATTATATTCTATTAGATAACATTGCTCTACACTATATATTCTACCTAGCTCTCAAATTTGACGTGTCAAAAATTGAAAACGAAATTTTCCCTTTTGTTCTCTGCAAATCTGCTTCTCAATATGTAGCATGATTTCTACTAGCACCTCAGCTAGAAACCCGGGACTCAACATGACCTCCTGTGTATGGACCAAAAAAACCAAACTCACTGCCATCGAATCGGATTCGACTCATACCGACCCCTCCTTGGGTTTCCGAGGTGGTATCACTATGGAAGTAGATCGCCCAACCTTCCTTCCGAGGAGTGGCTGGTGGGTTTGAACTGCCAGCCTTCTGGTTAGCAGTCAAGTGCCTTAGGCACTACACTACCAGAGCCCCTAATGTATAGTCTTCATATTTTTTGAAGCCAGCTATCTAACCATTGTACTCGCTCCGGCCTCCACCATCTCCTTGTTTGCATCAAGGCCCCTCTCTAATTCGTTCTCTACAAAGTAAACTGGATGCCCTTTCGTGTTATTCCTCTGTTGAGATTATTCTGAAGGCAGCATCCATTGTCTTCTACTTAAGTCTCTTAAACCTTAAAAGACTTTTTAATAAGGTAGCTACACAATCTAAAACTCTACCCTTTAGCAAGAAGGAACTACTTTAATTTCTCTAAATGTGTCATAAACTCTGTTACTTCAGGCTTTACTTCTGGCCTCTCTGTTCAGACACTCTTGCTCAACCACACCCCATTCCCAATTAATTCCACATATCCTTCAAATCCATTTTAGGGATCACTTCATCCACTTCTTTCACCCTCAAGTGCTGGTTAGGTGTTCCTCTCATGTGTTCCATGAGTTTCCTCCTATGACACACTGACTGCACTTTCACTGCTATTTATATCTTTTACTAGACATCCGGCTCTATGAGAGCAATAACTGTTCTGGTTGGTGTATTATCTCCCATAATGTTTGTAGAATGAATGAAGTTAACTCCTGGCTAAAGAGAGAACAGTTAGGCTTTAGACTCTAGAGCTGTAGGAGCCCAATGTGATATTCCAAATACTAAGGTATCTATTAGTTTTGTGCCCAAATGGAGGGCCAACTCCCTTCTGCAAAAGTGACTGGCAACGTCTATGGATAAATCCAAGATACTTCTCAAAAAGAGCTTTTAATCTAATTGTATAATTATAAGCAGATTAGTTAATTATAAGGGATTAATTAATTGATCCCTTAACTAATTACAAGGGATTAATTAATTAATCCCTTGATTAATTATAAGGGATTAGAGATTTAAGCTTTATAGCACAAAAGATAGGATACTGGACCAAAAAATGTTAAGGACATGTAATACAAATAAGTATGTTAATAATAATAAAAACATATTAGGTATTTACTATGTACTCAGTATTATTATGAGTTAGGCACTATTATTAATTATCCCCATTTGACAGATGAAGAAACTGAGGCACAGAATGATTAACCAACTTCTCATAGTCACATACCTAGCAAGTGGCTGAGTTGAGGTTCAAATTTAGTCAGTTTGTTCCAGAGTCCATGTTTTTATCCTTTACATAATAAAGCTTTTCAGACTAAATATTCTTGGTATTAATGAATCAGTCCATGTGATTTTAAATGAAGCTGTATCTTGCCAGGACAAATTAATAGCAAAAAGTATTGTCAAGTAATAGGAGGGTGTAATATTCATCCAGAAATGTTAAGAAACAGGATAACAAAGTCCTCAAAGCAGGAGAATTTTACCGTTGTTTGAAGGTAAGTTCTATCCCTTAAAATAGGATAATTTGACTTTCGGATACATGAACTTAAAATTTCTACATGTTTTTCCCTGTTAAATAGCAGAACTTACCTCAAAACAACGGTGAAAGTCTCCAGCTTCTCTCAGGCATTCAAATGCTGACCATCACTTCCTGTGTCAAACTATGTCAGCAGACAGGACTTCTGGCTGGGAAGTAGCAGTAAAATGCCATCTCCCACAGAGAGACATCAGCACTATTCACAGTTAGGGAGATAGTGAAACAGTGACAAGTACTGCTAAAACAGTGGTAAGGTTTGTTTAGTATTTTCCCTCGCTAAATGACGGGGCGTTAGAATTGGATTTATGTGTTGTTTATTAAGGATAACCTGTTAAGGACTAAAAGTTTTTCATTTCCACGCCATCTGAGAAATAGCTAAAACGCTGACTTGTCTCTCTGGCCGACTTAGAAGAGGTTCTTTTATTTTCAAAGTACAACAAAGTGAAAATGTGAATAAAAGAATCCCTTTAAGTTGTGCCAGTTAGGTTATCCTAACTCATAGGCACAGGATGAGAAATTTTCCAGACTGGAAATCTAACAGTCTTAAAAGATGCCTCAAGTATGAAGCCAAAGATTCAAGAAATCATGCAATATAGATGAGCTCTTAGCTTTGGGACAAACACCTGCAAAACAAATTTAAAAACTCACAAATCATGAGTTCCCCAACAGCAAGAGACAAAAGCACCCTCTTCTCAGGGATGACTTAACATAACTCTTAGAATTATCTCAAGGCTTAATGGTAGTACAAATTAAGGAAGTACAACTATTTGCAAGCCTTCTGAGTATATTTCAGATCCACACCTGCCAGATTTAAATGGAGAGACAGAGAGAGACAGAGAGAGAAATATACATACCTATACACATATGTAGGAGCTCTGGCAGCATAGTGCCTAAGGCACTTGAGTGCTAACCAGAAGGCTGGCGGTTCAAACCCACCAGCCACTCCTTGGAAGGAAGGGTGGGCAATCTACTTCTGTAGCGATACTGCCTCGGAAACCCAAGGAGGCGTTGCTATGAGTCGGTTCTGACTCGACCGCACATAACAACAACAACAACAAGTCCGTAAGTGATCATTATGGGAGGGAAAAACAAAGATCAGGATTATTTAATAGTCATTGTTCATTTGCAACTTACGGATGTAACAGGTAATGATAAAACATACCTTGTAAAGCTTTTGGATATGCTGTAGGAGAAAGCAAGCAGACTAGTGGTTGTCCAAATAAGTTTGTGAAATTCTGTAATATATAAGAATTTAAAATATTCATAAAAAATTTGACCAATGATATTACTCAGTAATTTTTCAAAGCACATTTCCAGTATACAGATTAGGCCCTTTTCATCATAACCAGGTATAGAAATACCAGTAACAGATAAAGAACTTCTATTTATCTATATCTACTATTCATTGTAGGTTTTCTTAGAGGTTGTCAATTGATACAGTAAAGTTTACTAAGTTAATCACTGATTTTTAAAATAATGATCTACATGTTTACAGGATGAGGTCATCTGGCTGTCTACCAAGAGATCATTTTACTGGGTGACATACACTAGTATGTACAATGGTGAATTTTCCAAGATCTACGATTTGGCTCTCAGCTAACTTCACAGGCTTGAAAGCATGATGTACTAGTATGTATGGACTGGATGCATCTCTTAATGTGGATCATATTACCTGTTCACATAAAATGACACATAAAACCAGAACATCAGTACATTAGTTTACAGTGAGAATTAAACTGACAATCAAACTAGAATATTCTTTGCATGATTAAGGTTACTCGCTCCCTAAAGGTAGATCTATATGGGAAGTAAATTCATAATCAAACTATTTGGCAAAGCAGTCAGAAAGTAAAAAATCCTACCACTTATCTAGTAACTCTGAGGAGTAAAGGTAACAAGAAATGAAAAAACAAAAATTACTTTAAAATACTCCTGAGTGTTAACAATAAAGACTTGAACAAGTGGAAAGACATACTGTGTTCATAGAGAAAAACCCATTCTAAAAACGTCGTTACATCAATGTATTAAAATTTAACTCAATCCCAATAAAAATAGCCACAAATGTTCTTTTATTTTTTATTCTTTTATTTTATCTACAACTTAAAAAGCTAATGCTAAAATTCATATTGCAAAAGTTGAGTATTAAAGATAATTCTGAAATAGAACCAGATGCATTAGATTGTAAGACATACAAAGTCTTAGTAATTAAAAGTGGGTGGCACATGGTTCTTCAAAAAGTTGAACAGAGAACTACCATATGATCCAGCAATACCTATGCTAGGTATATACCCAGAAGAAGTGAATGTAGGAACACAAAGAGAAACCTGTACAATGTTCATTGAAACACTTTTCACAATAGACAAAAGCTGGAAATAACCAAAATTCCATCAACAGATGAATGACTAAACAAAATGTGGTATATACATACAATGGAATATGATAAGCCATAAAGAGAAATGAAACTCTGATGCATACCACAACATGGATGAACTTTCAAAACATCATGCTGGGCAAAATAAGTCAGTCACATAAGGACAAACACCGTACGATCTCACTTATATGAAATAAACACATATATAGAAACCAAAGAGGATTAATGATTACCAGGAGTGGGAGTACTCATGGCATACTGGTTAAAGCATTCCACTGCTAACCAAAAGGGTGGTGGTTAGAACCCACCAGCCACTCCACAGGAGAAACATGAGGCAATCTGCTTCTGTAAAGATTTACAGATTTGGAAACACAATGAGGGAGTCCTACTCCATCCTAAAGGTCGCTCTGAGTTGGAATCGATTTAAAAATCCTACCACTTATCTAGTTGGAATCAACAGTTTCTCCAAACCTGTAAGAAAAAGACTGCTGCTGACCCAATAGAAAAGTGGGTGAGAGGATAATAGAAAAGGGAAAACAAGTGGCAGTGGGTTAGGGGTCGGAGGGAGGGGTAAAGGAGGAGTTTTTGTTTTGTAGGCATTGAGTTTACGTTAATGGTTGTGCAATGTTTTAGAAAAGGATAGCAATAATGGTGGCACAACATGAAAAATGTAATCAATGTCACTGAATTTTAAATGTGGTAGATGTATTGGTGAATGTTTTCATTTGTATATTTTCACCACCATTGGGGGAAAAAAAAAAAGAAGTGGCACAAAAGTAGGCAGAAGAGCAATGGCACAGCAGGAAAAGATCAGACCCAGATCCAAAACGTACAGGGTTTCCACATACACCATAAAGATGATGGTTCAAACGGGTGGGAAAAGCTGATCAGCCACCTAGAGAAAAATGAAGTTAGCTCCACACTTCATGCTATACACTAGGCTACATTTAAAATACATCAGAGATTTAAATGTAAAACATTAAGCAATAACTGAAAGAAAGTATGAGTGAATAAGCCAATTATTTTTGTAACCTAGAAGACCTTTCTAACTGTACAACATGACTAAATGGCAAGCAAATGATAAACTGGGGGAAATATTTGCACCTCACATCACAAAGGATTATCACCTTAATACAGTTTCTCCAAATCCGTAAGAAAAAGACTGCTGCTGACCCAATAGAAAAGTGGGTGAGAGGATAATAGAAAAGGGAAAACAAGTGGCTCAAATATATATGAAGAGATGCTCAACCTTATTGATAAACAAATTAAGGTATCAATTTTTAATCTATCAGTTTAGCAAGATTTCCAAAAGTTTGAGAATACAGTGTTAGCAAGAATGTGGGGAAACAAACACTAATCCGTAAATGATGGGAATATAAATTGGTATAAACTCTTTAGAGGACAATTTGGTAGTAACTCTTTTAGGTCCAAATACATACTCCATTAACACAGAAATTCCACAACTGAGAGTTTAACCTATAGATACACTCTCAAACCTGTAATAAAACATACGTACAATGTTATTCCCTGCAGCACAGTTAGTACCAGTGAAGGACTGGAAACAACCACATGACCAACATTAAGGTACTGGTAGAATCAACCATGGCATGATCATACAATGGGAGACTATAAGCTATTAAACAAAATGAAGAAATTATTTATGAACAGATAAGAGCTCTAACATTTTTTATTAAGTGGAAAAAAAGTGTGATGCAGAAGAGTGAGCATAATCTTACAGAGAAAGACGGGAATTGAATGAATTGAAGACACGGTAGGAGGAAGTGATTTCACAATGTCTTGCTAAATTTCTTTATTTTTGCCAACTTTGTAAATATAATAGCAACAACAAATTAAACAGTTAAGATAAATTAGAAATTTCTTATTTTCAAAAAAGCGAGTACACTGAATGATTTTAAGGGGTACTCCTAAGAAAAACCAGCTTCAGAAACTCTTCCACACTGTAGAAAACTCCAAACCAAACTCACTGCACCACCGAGTCAGTTCCCACTTCTAGTGACCCCCATTGGGATTCTAAGACAGTAAATCTTACGGAAGCAGACTGCCTCATCCTTCTTTCATTGAGCAACTGGTGGGTTTGAACCATTGACCTTTTGGCTAGCTGTCAAATATCTTAGCCGCTGTACCACCAGAGCACACCTATGTGTCCCTCAGCCATAATATGCTCTCTCTTGGATGGTGCAAGATGGCAATCGCTCTCCTCTTTATTTACTTTCATTACTGACCAACCTCTTTTCTTCTTCTCTTTTTTAATATTGTACAGAAAAAAGTTAATACCCTTTCAAAGGCCTGTTTACAAGGTTGGGCCTTCGCTGGTGTCTGGGCACTTGAATTTTTGGAAGGTTCTCACTACTAGCAGAACTGATAACAGTGCATTATACTTGAACTGTGCTGTATGGTTTATGCTGAACCTACTTTCTTTCTGGGAACCTGGCATTTTGGTACCTGTGAGGCCCTGGGTTTGATCCCTAGTGCCTCCACTATTAGCTCATTTTGGGAGCTCTGGTAGCATAGTGGCTAAGGCACTTGACTGCTAACCAGAAGGCTGGCGGTTCAAACCCACCAGCCACTCCTCGGAAGGAAGGTTGGGCAATCCTACTTCCGTAGTGGTAGTGATACTGCCTCGGAAACCCAAGGAGGGGTCACTATGAGTCAGGTGTGACTCGATGGTACACAACAACAACAACAACATGCAGAAACGGCTATGTGATCAGACTCCAGTAAATCACTCTGGGCATTGAGTCCCTAACGAATTATTGACCTGTTGTCACAACTTGTTCCAGGAGCAATTAAGCACATCTTGTGTGACTCCAATGAGCCCTGGTGGCACAGTGGTTAACATGCTCTGCTGGAAACTGAAAGGTTGGTGGTTTGAACCTATCAGCTGTTCCATGAGAGAAAGATGTGGCAGTCTCCTTCTGTAAAGATTTACACTCTCGGAAACCTTATGGGGCAGTTCTACTCTGTTCTATAGGGTTGCTATGAGTCATAAATGACTCCACAGCAATGGGATTGGTTTATTCGTTTTTGTGACTCTGCTGGGACAGGACCATTGAACGCGTGCTCATGGTTTCCTCTGGAAACTTTTCCCATTGTGGATTTTGTTGCGTCCTTTTGCTTAACATATCTTAGCAGTGAGTATGACTACAAGTCCTGTGAGTTCTAGCAAATCATTGAGAGTAGTGGTGGACTTGGGGACCCCTGACACTTATACATTAATACATTCTATCAGCTGACATTCAAATCTTAGGCTTGAGAAATAGTTTCTTTAAGGATGCTTTACTTGTCTTTGTTAGTCTTCCTTATCCAGTAATTTTATGGTTTAATCTTACTTCTTTTATTTGCAAGTTTTGGGAGAATGTCTCAAGCCTATACCATATCTGGATTATATAATATGATGCTAACTAACTAACTAACCAGAAGGAAAGTTGGGCAATCTACTTCTGTAGAGATACCGCCTCATTATGGATTTTGTTATGTCCTTTTAATTTGATGCTATTATGTTTTAAAAAAATTATGGTAAATGTATGGACATGAAATATATATTGAAGACATTTTAACTGGTTGTAGCAGACTGTCCCTGACTTTAGTATATTTATCCCATATCCAACTACTTTGGTGAATCTATACTCATCAACCATTTTTCTCAATCTATACTCATTAACCATTTTTCTTAATTTTGCATAATTCTTTTGGATTTTCTAAATATAAAATCATTATCATCTGCGACGAATGATTTCCATCTTTTTATTTATAATATTTACCTCTCTTTTTTCTGTTTTGTGTTCTTTTTTACATTCTGAACTTTTTAAAATTGTTTTATTTTAGTTATGCTAAGAAATTCTG